AGTAAAGTGTGTCAGTTAGCTTAGCTTAGCTGGAAGATTAGCCAAAACAAATGGCAACCAGCTTGACTGTTTTATTTTAACACTGTCAGCTTACAAGCTCACTAATCAAGAAAGCTCATTAGAGACTCTACTTCCTCAGGCGGCTGAGGCGAGCTGGACTGGGTATCTCAGTCCTCACCTCCTTCTACAGGTGTGCAGTGGAGAGCATCCTGTGCTCCAGCATCAACATGTGGCATGGAGGCTGCACAGCTGCAGAAAGAAAAGCTCTGCAGAGAGTGGTGAAGGCTGCACAGAAGACTGTTGGAGTCAGTCTCCCCACATCACAGACATTTATACCTCCTAATGCAGGAAGAGGGCCACCTGCATCATGAAGGACCCCACTCACCCAGCACACACACTTTATGCGCCGCTCCCTTCAGGAAGGAGGTTAAGGAACATTAAGTGTAGAACCACTAGACTGAGGAACAGCTTCTACCCTGAAGCTGTTAGACTCATGAATCCCTAATCAGGATAATCACTGTGAAAAAAAATCACTGTAATGAAACTTTGATTGTTGATATGTGCTGCTGACTATCTGTGCTGCTGAACTCTTGCTGCTGATTTATTTCATGCTGCTGTGTTCATTTCATCTGCTCACACAGACTCATGTTCGTGCAACTGCTGTTTGGTGTATTGTTGTTGGACTATTAGTGCTTAGTTTATTCTTAATTTAACATATTTCTTAGTTCATATCTTAGATCTTATTACTGTTTTCCTTTGCAATTTATAATTTTGTTGGATGTAACTGGGAACCTGTGTACACAATTTCATTCCACCACATGTACAAGTACCACAAGTGGTGGAATGACAAATAAAGAAACTTTGACTTTGACTTTACCAGTTTGCTAAAGCCTTTAGAAGTTGTACTTTGCCTATTTGAGAACGCCGAGAATATATATATATATATATATTATTTTCAATTTTGTCTCTCTCTCTGTCTGAAAGCCTCATGTCAGTACTGTGAAGCTAACAGTCAAACAAACTCTGCTCGGCTTTGTCCAAGTTTTGGTAAATTTAGTCCGAGTTATTTGTAAGCACTGGATTGCATTCAAACAGCGAACAATGAGCAAAACATACCAAGATGTGACATGTTGATTAGAGAGTTCAGTTTTGGCCAGAGTTTGATTTGCTGATATTTTTTCCACAGACACTGACTAAGATAGTCTTTTTATACAGCTGTAAAATGAGCAGAGTTTGCTCATAGCTTTTTTGTTAAAGCTTCAAAAGAGTTTATGCATCTGATTTTATTGTGACTAATCACCAGTTATGGTCAGATTTTATCTGTAGGGCAAAACATAACTCTCTGTGTCTGTAATCCTTGACTTTGACCTTTTGATTCCTGTGTGTCCAACAATAATGACATCACAGGTGCCCGTCCATTTTCAGACTCGACAGCCAGCTTCTTGTGTGCCTGCACCCTGCCACCCTTGTGGAAACAGTGTGAGATAAGGTGCAGGAAATTAACTTACGCAGTCCCATCTTCACTATTCTATCTGAAAATAGAAGTATCTCCATTATTAGTCACAGCCTAAAATTAAAGAGCTCTATACAATTGAGATAATGTATTTTCCAGGGAGCGGTGCTACCACCTTGTCCTCTTGAGACTAATGTAATTGCATTTCCATTGACCTGCTGACACTCGTCTTTGAGTGTTGTCCAATATCTGGATCATCCATGACATCACAGGCCATGTCCCTTGCCTGTCCATCTTCTGACGTGACAGCTAGGTTCTTCTATGTCAGCCCCGCCCTTCTAACGGCATGAGATAAGCTGGAGGGAGTGCTAACCCCATGAAAGCTCTCAAAGGCCATGTCTATTAGCTGTATATAACTCTCCACCAGCGCAGGGCCCTGTTGCTGACACTGTAGTGGACACATTAATGAGCATTACACAATCATTGGATTTTAAAAGCACTTACAGCCACTAAGCTCATGCATCACGAGTCTGTTTAACAGTATGCTCTGTGATAGCAACCAGAATTGTTTTCTGGTGACCGAACAACTTTTTCCCCATTTCTATTTCCACCCTACTTCCAATTTGTTGCTCTTTTACTTTGTATCTTCTCCTTTCAGTCCTGGGCTGTCTTCCTCAAATGGCCCTTTACTTCCCACCCTTCTCTCTTTCTTTCACTTAGTCACCCTTGCTATTCATTTTCTCACTACAAACCATGTTTTACTGGTGAAAACCCATTATTTAGCCGCATCTTCCGTCCTTATTACTCTTCCTTTTAGTTACAGTGTTTTCTTCCTAAGTGATGCTTTGAGAGGATTTAACGACGTCTCTGTGCACAAAGGCATATTTTTGTCACAATGCCAGCTCCTTTGCTGCAAACAGTAGACACTTGAGATCAGATTTCATTCTAAACGTCATCAATGTACGACCTTGATGAAGTTGGAGAGAGTGTCTCAGTTTTTTTATTTCTTTCTGGAGTCACCAGGAAAATAAATAGGTTTAGAAAAACGGAACCGAGTTATTCTCAGCTGTCAAGTTGTTTCCTGACTAAACAGTGGTTCAGAGGATCTGGAGGGTTTCAGCGTCAGAGACATAAGAAATCTTTGGGATTTGACTCAAGATTAGCTGTGGTTCCAGATAAATTTCACATTTTTTCATGCTGTTCTTCTTCTGTGAGGTCCAGTCTGACTCCATGTAGTAAATGGGTCTCGTCTGCTGATGAAACTCAACTCAGCAGCATAAATAAGTAAATCAACTCATGCACAGCACCTGATACAAACATGGCTATACCTCAAGGTTTCAGCCTACTGCTACCAACTAGCATTTTCAGTACATTAAAACTGCAGGATGAGAAAGTTTCAGCATGCACTTTTTTAAACAAAGAAGAGGTCTGTCTCCTAAGATGATTTAAAGGGTTGTCTGTGGGAGTCTAAAGCTAGCAAACTGAAGAGAACACGGCAGCTGAAGATCAATACTTTAAGCTTCGTGCGCTAAAAGCCAAAAGAGACAGATTTTGTGAAATAAAGGCTACAGGACTCCACTTAGCAAAACTACTGTGAAATTAAAGCTGATCCCAGAGGACATGTAGTGGTTTTCTCACAAAACGAGGTTAACCGCTCGAGGTAAAGCATGAAACACAAGTATTTCACTCATACTGATGCAGACATGACACAATAATGGGAGAAGAAGACCAGGGCAGAGGAGGATATGCAGCAGAGAAAACTTGTTTGTTTTTTAAAAAAGTGCTTTGTGTTTTCTGTCTGTTGTATTTCATGTACTGTAGCTGGAGGCCGAGATGGGGTGGAGGCAGGCAGCCAGCTCGGGACCTGAAAGTCCCCGGCTCAATCCCCAGCCATTCCCATTGTCGTGGTGACTCTGAGCAAGACACCCAATCCCTAATTGCTCCCTGGGCGCCCACATAGCTGCCCACCACCCCACCTGGGTGCACCCCAGGTGCAATGCAGAGAACCACTTTCGACATTTTATGGGAATATATGATGATGACAACACAGCACTCTCAATACATGCCGACCATGCAGAGCATTTAAAAATCATCTGTAAAACAAAGGAAACTCCATTTTTGACATAAAGATCTCTCCCAAACATCATCAGATAATGTTGGAATAAGATGGATGGATCATAATAATAATAATAATATTACATTTTATTTGTATAGCGCTTTTCTAAATACTCAAAGATACTTTACATGTCCAGATGACTTGACTGAGCATTATTGGATTTGGTACCTGGATGATTGAGCATGAACTTTGATGCTTTACATGAGTTAAAAAATTAAAAAAATAAACAATGCATCACAACACAAAACACAATAAAACATTTACAAAGGGCACATTTAAACATTAAAAGCAATTTTAAACAGGTGGATTTTGAGTTCTTTCTTAAAAGTGGAGAGCTCGGAGCAGGCACGAAGCTGTTGGGGCAGCGATGGAGAAGGCTCCGTCTCCCCAGGTTCGGGGCTTAGTTCAACACAGTCACATGAGGCTCAACAATACTTTTCTATTCAAGCAGCAATGTTGGGCAACAATAAGACAAATCTGAACATGCATTTTGTTTTTAATATCCATGTTTGCTTGACTTTTTCAACATAATTATCAAATCTTTAGTAAAAAAAATGTGTTCAGTACAAAAAAAACATGCAAAGTAAACAATTAATATTTATTCCATTTGGTGTTATTGTCATAAAGTCAGTATGCCTGCAATTATCTTTAAATTTACTTTACATTTTTTCTTGATTTTTGCATATATAGGTATATTATTATGTAACCAAATAAATAGTGTTTCCATTTTGTCTGAGCTGTATGAGTTGTAAGAGAGATGTTTGCCTGCAGACATCATACGATAGATTAAAGCATCATCATTCTGTTTTGACCTCAAGAAAACTCTGTTGATTGTCTCACTGTCACACTTTGCCTTTTGTTTAGCTAATTTCACTAGAAGCAAAAAGCTTTTAAGATGAGCAATTTTATCTTTGTGTTTCAGAGAACAACATGCGAAGTCACACGTTTGCACAAAACTAACCAGTGGCAAAGTATTCCTGTTTGTTATTTTCACTTTGCTGGATTGTAAGAATTTATTCATATTCAAATCTGTTGTAAAAGTGAAAAAAAGATGACCCAATCTCCTCTTGGCCCCACAGACATTCAGAAGGTTTGGAAAGAATCACTGTTGACCACGTGCGCTGTCCGTCGTACACATCCTGTCATTGTTCTGACTCCATCTGCCTCATGAGCTCAGCCTGGGACATTTTTACCTTTAATAAAACAGCACGATATAGTCCCAACATCTTTTTAGCTATTCTAAAGAAACGTAATTCCTGCCATCTGCACATAAATGAGATTAACTAAGCATTTTCACCTCTAAATGATTTATTTTCTGGACATGATAATGCACAGTGCTCTCTAATGCTGTCATAATCCGGTCTTCTAATTACACTATATGATCCATTCAGTAAACCTCTTTTTAAAATAATCTCCTCTCCATGCCTGCAGCATCCATTGTAGGCCAGAAGTGGTGGTGCCACATGCAGCCCTGTATGGATGGTGAGGAGTGCAAGGTTCTGCCTGACCTGACTGGCTGGTCATGCAGCACTGGGAACAAAGTCAAAACCACCAAGGTAGGACGGTTACCTGTCTGGAATGAGATGTTTGTCAGCTTCTGTGTGTGCATGTCATTTATTTTCTCTCTGCTGTCCAAGTGATTGACAAACATCAGCTGCATGTTCATTTTATTTATTTATATACTATCTGTCTGTCTGTGTACGTGATTTTGTTCAAATTTCACCTCCTTTTGTTTCTTAGCAACTGCAGTTGTTGACACAGGTTTTTTTTGCAGCAACAACAAATCATGCAGTTCATCTGCGCTCACATGACCTCATCAGGCCTAGCATTTATTAAAGGATTGCATATTGCTTCCCTGCTGCCAGTCATGCCAGAGTTAAAGACTGGAACCATCAAATGATGAGAGAAGATGGAATTATACTGGAGTCGTTTTAGTCAAACTTTAAAGATAATATTGTGCAAGCTATTGTATTGTGCAAGCTATTGTGTGAAAGGTGAGAGAGGTGGTGCAGAGGTTAGAGAAAGAAAATGGTGCAGGTTCAAATCCCCCTGATCATAACATCAAAATGTGGTTGGGAAAGGTGAGGCACCTGCTCCCACCCTCATTTGGCCCACTCTGGGCCCTTGAACATGGCCTTTAACCCCACACCATCTGTTGCCCTCTTCTCCACACAATATGATGCTGTGACATTTTTCTGTTGGCTCACAGACAAACTGTTGTCTTAAATTCGTAATGCCAACGTTATTAGCAAAAATATTGCAGGATGTGTAGTGCGCTGAGTATGTGTTGTGTATGGTTCTCAGCTACGCTCATATTAAAGTTCATCTTGAAATGGGTGGACTTCTGTTAAAGCTTTCCATGTGTGTCATTTACAGCAATGTGTGCCTTCACCTCCTTAATTTCTCAATGTAAATTAAAAATATCCTAACGTTTAATTACATATTTATTTCTGTGACATACAGTAGTCCCTCGCTACTTCGTGATACGTTTATCGCGGTTTTTCAAAATAAGATTGGCCATGACACACAACTGGCTGACTGACGGATGAGCCGCACGATCGGCACGGAATTTTTATGAAAATAAATTATTTAAAATTATTTAGCACCTGCTGCACATTGGTGCAGCCCAGAGCAGCAGAAAAAGCTTCCTCCTGCAGCTTTGTGCAGCTCTTACTGCAGGATAAACTTCCTGCTGCAGCTGAACAGCTGCTCAGATGTTCAGCGTGCAGAACAGAGAAGTGGGCGTGGCCAAGAACGCTTGCAGGTGGCAAAGAGCAGAGGAGGCAGGGAGCTGAAATCATGACGTTCTGTGATCTTAGAGTGTTTAGAAACGTTGTTTAGAAAATTGCAAGAGTGTGGGAAGAGTTTAAAATGCCTTCATATATATATATATAT